TGTGGTGCCGTGTCTTTCCATCACGTTTATCTAACTGCATCTAGCTGTTTAGTCAAGTGTTTATGGTGCAAGTCTAGTCTGTATTTGATTCTTCTCAGAAGGACAGTTTTATCTCAGTAACTTGGTTTCGTGTTTGATCAGCGTTAGCTAATTTGTAAAGACCCACAGGTACCTGTCACTAAGTAGCAGTTTTGCAGTTATTGAAATAACATAAAGCCTGCGTTCACTAAAGTCGGCTAAATTGGCAATGTATGTTGCAGCCACAGTCCACACAGAGTTTTAATGTGTATGAAAGGTGATTTGTGATGTGTTTTTGAAGCGCCCGAGTTGTAACAATGCTTTATTTTTCACAGCTAGCACACACTTATTTTTGTAAAACGAATTCACACAATGCAAGCTACTTCCTCCCGTCCTGTCACGGTGTAGCCCGGCCATGCTGATTTTCCGATACTTGGTGTAATATAACAAGTTAGGGCCTCAGTCTTACTACTTATTAGCTTGTCCTAATTAACATGTTTAATGAGGAGTTTGTGCTAAAGAATGTCTAGGATGGATACAGATGTTAATGCTTATGTGCCTTAAATAGAATGGTACTTAATGGTTTAGACCTTGAGTCTGTTATTATTTTCTTAGTGTCTTATTGTAGAAGCTACCTAACCAAAGCCAGACCAGTAAATTTACAACATTTTCTAAGGCTAAACATGTATCTTTGGGTGGAACTAAAAGGGCTTGCAGTAAAATGGGTCTTTTAAATTGTAGTGTTTGAGGTGAGTCTTGGGCTTTGTGGCACCGGCATCAGTTGAAAGGCCAGCTGATAAATCTCTCTTCAGTAGGGCTTCTGTGACGTTTATATTTATATCTAACCTGAAAATAGGTTTGTCGTCATATATAGGCTACATTGATTTGTTGCAACATATGCAAGTTGTTTGCTGAACAGTGTCAATGCAAAGCTTGAGTGATGTGTTATTGTAAAGTACATTTCCACATAACAGTGATGATGTCTGTCGTTAGGAGTTGAATGACTTGGCACGTGACCCTCCAGCTCAGTGCTCGGCCGGACCGGTTGGTGATGACAGTAAGTATTCATAAGATCCGCTGTCAGTTATTTTAAAGTGTTGGATGCTTCAATAAAAAAAAAAAATAGCTAATTTTTAAAAAAGAATTTCTTAAAATGTTCATTGAGACTTTCAAAGGATATTTTGCTTTTGGCACTCCTTAGACACTCAGTTTCTTTCCAGGTGGCTGTTACATCACTTGAAGCTGCCCAGTTGTAGACTTGACTTGTAATGTCAGAGAGTTAATGTACATATACTAAGATTATATTTAAAAATGTATGTATGCAGTGGTTAGCCGCATGTTAAAGGCACTTTCACGCAGTATACATGATGGGGATGGCCAGTCCATGCTGGTGGTTTCCTGCAGGCCTGATGGCACGTCACTTGTCACCAAAACCTGATCTGCCTGTTCAAACTTGCTTCAGTACTTTTGACTGCTGGGCCAGTAGGCCTGAGTGAGTCATGGTGCTTCCTGGTTGTTAATTTAATAGACAGGAGCCGCAGTATAGAGGGAGCGGTGGGAGATCTGGATATTGATCCCAGTGAATTAGTGTGTAAGTTTGTTGTGTAAATAATGCTGTATGACATAATCATAATATATCCACTTTGTGATGTTGGGTAACAATATGCCGAGGTATTTTCACTGTTAAAGTAGGTTAGTTGTGAAAACTTCAGGTGGTGTACTGTGACTGCCTCTCTCACAAAAGACCACTGTGCATCACAGAGAAGTGAATTCGTGCCATGTCTTGCTTGCCTTGAACTGTCAACAAAGTGCGAAAAAGAATTTCTGTAATGTGTTCTACTGTAAAAGTGAGTCGCACATTGTTTAATGCTGCGCATCAGACTTCATTTAATATGTAAAAGGGATATTTTGCTGGTGGCAGTTTATTGTGGATTTTGTGGCTCTTGTTTAATCCGGATTTGTAATGTTACTCGTGTCATTTTTTACAAAACATTATGACCAATTTTATTTTTTACTTAAAATTTGTAAAATCAGCCTTCTTGATGTTTACTTCATAAAGATAATTGGAAGTTCATATTGTTTGCTCTTTATAGATGTTCATTTGGGCACTGTTTGTTAATTCATTGAATGAAGTCTGCCTCTAATGAAGTCTGACTGTCAGTGTCTTTTACTTTCAGTGTTTCATTGGCAAGCTACAATAATGGGACCTGTAAGTATGATCCCTTTACTCTTTAAAGTTTTCGGTAGTCGTGTAGCTGTGCGCTGGTGTAACTGTGATCTCATTTGACAGAACGACAGTCCTTACCAAGGCGGCGTGTTCTTCTTGACTATTCACTTCCCCACAGATTACCCCTTCAAACCGCCAAAGGTGATGTCTTTTTCCTTTCCATCTTTAGAATCATTTGGAAATTGCCCTGCTTTATCTCTCTTGATGTAGCATTATCAAGGTCCTATGTTACTGGAGTGTGTTGGTGATACATTTTGGTGCTGATTTTAGACATTGGTTTACTTGCCCATGCAGCACCATAAGATACTAAATGACAAGTGATACAGAAATTAGAAGTCTTAAGTTCTTTTGCCCTCACTGCTACATTCAGAAATGCGTGTTTGCAGTATTGTTTTCTGTAATAACATTCAGCAACCTGCTCTTTGCACCTTCAGGTTGCATTTACCACAAGAATCTACCACCCAAACATCAACAGTAATGGCAGCATCTGCCTTGACATCCTGAGATCACAGTGGTCCCCAGCACTTACCATTTCTAAAGGTATGATGGCATTTGACACATTTTGGAGGGTAATGCGAATGTACCCAGAGCACGACGCAGCAATGTTTTTCAGTTGATTGATACATATATATTTTTTTTTTTAGTTCTCTTGTCCATCTGCTCGCTGCTATGTGATCCAAATCCAGATGACCCATTAGTGCCTGAGATCGCCCGCATCTACAAGACAGATAGGGAAAAGTAAGTACATTGCTATTTATCCGGAGTAGCTTTACAGAGCGGAATTCCAGCCTTTGCAACACACACACACACACACACACACATATGCACATGCCCACAGATTTGTACACTACATGCAGTTTAGGAACACCGGTCAGCCTAACTGCATGTCTTCAGACTGTGGGAGGAATTTCCCATGTGACACGTGGAAAAACATGCAAACACAGCAGTAGTATTTGAACCCTAACCTCTGGAAGTGAGGCAGCAGTGTCACCTGCTGCATTGCCGTGTCGTCCATGCAGTGTGCGACTTTCAGGAAAATTGTCACGAATGCTGCACTTTTGATTTGATCTTTAGCTGCTGTATTGTGTGAGCGTGCTGACTAGACATTCCCCCTCTCTGTTTTCAGGTACAACAGAATAGCTCGGGAATGGACGCAAAAATATGCGATGTAGTTTCAGCGCAAGATCATGGAGAAACACCTCTGCGTCTACAGCTAGGGGGCGCTCTGAGCGAAAATGAAAAATAGAAAAAATCTCGTTGGTTTCCATTGGAGTGCTTTCTTTGAGCCACATCTTCCTTAACTTGCACCTCTTTCCCTAACCCTACCCAGCTGCCATGTTGTATATATTTCAAACTGCAATCCACAGTCCACCTATTTTCCCTGTCCTGCCACTGTCTTTGTCACTGGATCAGTCCACTTTTGGAGCTGTCCGATGTTTATGATTCTAAAAGCATTCCTTGCCATTTTAAGAACTGGGATATCCAAGATTGAGGGATTTTACTTTTTTTCCCCTTTGTGCTTCCAACAGTAATGAGTTGGGGGCTTTTTTTTTTGGTATAAATCTCTAAGGAATTCTTTTAAATTCAAATGAAGCTAAAATGGAAATGTAAAGCCTTTTGGTTCTTGTATGTTCAGCTGGAAAATTCTAAAGGATTTCTCCCCCCCACCCCCAACAATTATCACCAAGACCTTCATCATTCCATATTCATTACTGTTTGGAGGTTTTGGACTGGTTGGTTAAAACCCTCCCATAACCAATCTAGATTGCATTCGGATTTTTTTATTTTATTTTTTTGGATCTAGAAGCTAATAGCTCCTGTCAGACTCGTGCTTTCTTGGGTTGTAGTGCGAGGAAATAAAATCCTGACAGACGACTTCTGTATATTTAAATACCTGGAAGCTCATTGAGCTCGTGTGTTGATTAAACTGTGTAATAAAATAATTACTAAAGTCTGAACTTTGAATTTAAGCATGACTGAAGTAATTGAAAATGTGGGCTTCTGTCGACAAAATCAGTTTTTTTTTTGTAATAAATGAAACCATGTTTAGCATTTTTCCACATTCTGTGCAGAATTAAGTATTTTAAGGTGATTGTCATAGTTGAATTCACAGTAAATATGTCAATGATTTGTGGAACTGTTGCAAAGTAAATTCCTATAAAAATGTTGCAAAGCATGTGGAAACAGTATGTTATGAGCAATGTAGAGAATGTTGATGGGGGGGGGGGGGGGAGTGGCCCTCTGTGTTCTAAGTGAAGGTAGTACCACATAATCAATTGTATACATTATAAATAATTGATAACATGGCAAATGTTAAGCGACATGCCTCATAACTGGAAATTATTACTGTTTCAGTTGCAGTTATAATGTATGAACACAGCCCTGTAAACTGAATAAAAATAGGATGTATAAACTGCTTCTTAGGTTACTTAGTTGTAATACTTAATATCATTGTGTTGGTGGACTAATTTTAAACGTATAACACTTGAATAATGCTGGTTTAGTGGAAGGTAATATAAGCAGGGTTGGAAGATCTTGTCTTAAACTTAAGTATTTTTATGCAGTTTACCCATTCGAAATGTCGAGTAATTCACCGTGAAAGTGGGGCTACTTTAAATTAAAGCACATTAACCCACTTCGGATTCGTCATTGTTGGTATATGCATTTGACATCCTTAACTGGTAAAAACATCGGGTATTTTAGAGAGAGGATTTGACAAGCTGACCTTCTCGCTCTGTGTTCACTACTGGTACAGGATAAGTGTTAGACAAGTAGTGAAGTCAGGCAATGATTCATTTTCTCTTGCGATTGGCTGCCGCCTCCGTGACGTAGCGTAACCCGGAAGCACGCATGATCCGTCCAAAGGTCCGGGGCTGCCCGTGACCTTGTGCATAAGCGGACAGCCGACATTACTGCCAGCGGCGAAGACTTGCGATGTCGGCATCAACATTTCTGCCGCTATCCAAGCCGGATATAAGAAATGGATTCACCTTTTGCAAAGGTTTTTTGTCTTCCTCAGAATATAACTGTAGCCGTCAAAAGAAATGTAACCGTATTTTGTAACAAGTGTTTGTTTTCGCTAACATGCATAATAATCGAAATTTTCCATTGCAATCTAGTGGTCATCTATAGGGCAGTCTGGTTAGATGGCTTGCCTACTATTCAAGTATTTGAAACCTAAATCGCGACAATAGTAAAATAAGATAAATTAGATATCCGGAAACAGTTACCACGTAATTTAGTGAAACTGATTGGCAGCTGTGGTAATGCACCTTAAATCTCATGCGATAATACCTTGACTTGAATGTATGTACAGAAATTCTGAACTAAATTACGTGTTTTCAAGCTCCAGTGGACCATGTGACAATGGTAGCCACACCCACACGACTTTGCCTACTGTCACAACTTCATGTAGGCCTACTTATTTTAGCAGGTGCTTAACTGTTTTTAAAGCGATCAAGTCAGGGTGTCCAGGTCAGGGTAGCGCGGAGGCTTGAAGCCATTCCCAGGCAGAAAAACACACAAGGCAGACGTATGTACTGCACGGGATGCCAGTCCATTGTATGCCACAGACACGTATGCTTACACACTACACTGCAGAAGTTATAAATTTTTTATCACTGTTATTATTGTTAATTTGGAAATATTGTAGTCGTCAGTAAGAGCCAATGTACCAGGTCCCTACAATGTATTTTTCTTCATTGATATTCCATAAGTTTAAAGGTAAATTGGTAACATTTTACTTGAGCGGACACAAATAATGTAGTGTTATGCTATTACTTATGTAATTAACCACAAATTAAGTGCTAATTACAAATTGGTCTCATGTTTGTTCATTATTAATGAATTGTCACACGTTATGTAATTATGTAAACTTTTATGAACTACTGAAGGAACAATTAATGAATCTTATGTTACTGATCTTATGTTTGTTCCTCATTAATGAATTGTGACAGAACATTTATCTCAAGCAGTTACTATATATGTTACTGTATCTCAATTCTGTGAACCTTTGTGAACTACTAAGGAACTACTGAAGGAACAAGTAACGAATAAGGAAGTGAAATACTGATCTCATGTTTGTTCATCATTAATAAATTATGACACCTTTCATCTTTAGACTATATTTGTTCATGATTTGTTCATGATTTTTACTTCAGTAGTAACTGAGTTATTGCTAAGTATTTGTGTCCCCCCAAGTGAAGTCTTACCGGTAAATTACCAAGTGTCAAGTGCTCATTTTCGTGTCCAAAATACATTCTGTGCCACAAAAAGCATTATTTAATGAAGAAATCAAGTAATGTCTTGCTGCATTCCATCCACAAAAGCACTCCGCCTTCTGGTCATTGCAAGGTATTACCCCCCTCCCCCCACCGGCGCTCCTCTATTACGTACCTCTCCTGATTCAGCCAAAGACATAAAGAATTTTGTGATTCAGCAAAAGACAAAATGCATTTCCTGATGCCTTTCGTGACTTGGCAAAAGTCGAAATGCATTTTGCGATTCTTGTCCACAAAATGCATTTTGTCCACAAAAAAAGTACTGATATCAATTTTGTGCACAAAATGAAACATTTTTTTTTATTTCTGTGCATGATAGAAAGTGAAGTAAAATTAAAGAATGTGCACAGAATTGATATCAGCACTTTGCATTTCATGGACATAAGAAAGTCATTTTGTGGACAAAATTTATTCTGTGGAATCATGAAATGCATTTCGTGTTTTGCCGAGTCATGAAAGGTGCCACGAAATGCATTTTGACTTTTGCTGAGTGATGAAAGGCACCACAAAATGCATCTTTTGCTGAGTCACGAAAGGCACCACGAACCATAGCAGCTAGGTAATAAAACAAGAGGTAGAGATATCACTGCATAGTCATTTGTTCCGTATGTAATATTGATAAGAATATGCTATTAACAGTAAAAGTATACATTAAATTCAAATAAATTTGTTACAAACGTATCTAAAATGTTGAAGCTTCTTGCCTTTAAGGAAAGAACTATTTTCATCTCATTGAACGAAAGTGAAAAATAAATGCATAGCATAGCATTATGAAGTTATACTGCTTTATGAATAAATACATTTCTAAATATGTAACCTTTTATATTGTGTAGTGCCAGAGCATGCTGGGAAAATGTAAATAGCCTTTGTTTGTGTAGTTGTAGATACTTGTGTTCCCGATTGTCATATGTGCCCTTGCCTGTGTCACGCGTGAACCACGTCTGATATTCGCAGTCCGATCCTTTATTGTGTAAACTACCCACCATGTGTGTGCCTTACCGACTGCATCAGACCTTCGTGTGTTTCTCTATTGTCTGTGGTTCGGCGGTGGATTGGGTCATGTGCTTGTCTTTAAAAGGGTTCAATTAAATCTTCACCGGTGTGATATGCCTCAGTCTGCTAGTCATTACATTGTATTACTATATATATATGTGTGTGTGTGTAGGGCGAGTTGTCTAAAACGTTATTTTTAGCGATGATATTCCGATGACATGCATTTACCGACGGAATTTCATTTTGAACCATAAAGTTAAGTGCCCATCTGGAGTGTGAAATAGCGCTAGAGGAATCCGAGTTTGTGTCTTTCTTGGCGCGATCCTTCGGTGCCTCTCATCTGTACTCTACAGGACTACGGCTTCTGCTTCCTGTTATCGGATGTACAGCGATCTGATTTAGGGATCTTTTGATATTAATACGTGTAGGTTAGTTGCAGAATAAGTTCATTTTGATAAACAGTAACGAATGCATGGTGAAAAATAAGAAGTCATTGACGAAATAATGACTGTATTGCTTGCGATTCCCAGGTACTCTGGTTTTCTAAGATATGTTGTAAGTTGAAGTAGCTCTGAATTGCCTATAGCGTGTGATTCTATGAGCCCTGGATCTTATCCTGGATATACCTCTGCCTTGTGCTGTCTGAGAACTGCTCCAGACTCTCCACAAAGTCGCGTTAGATAAGTAGGTGGAAGAAGGGTGGATAAAGTGATTACTGTGTGTGTGTGTGTGTGTGTGTGTGTCCTGATATACCACCCACAATCAGAAAAGTAAAAATGCAAAAACTCTTGCATTTTGTCTGGTTACTTACGATTATGGTTGGGGCTGGGTAGGGGTTAAGGTTGTCATAGTTAGCATTAACATTTCTCTCATAGAAATGAAAGAGCAGTCCACACAAAGACATGATTACCAGTGTGTGTGTACAGGAATGTCTCTGTTTTTGTTAGAATGATATTGAGGTTCGTATACTATTAGAGTTTTAAGTCGGTCATTAGTACTATACAGTTAAAAAATGTTACATGCAATGCTTAGCAAATAACGAGAGCTGAAATTCTGACTGGGGCGTGTTTTTGTATTTCAGAGCACCTGACCACCATTCTGCCACTATTGGCCACTGCTGCTGGAACTTACCTCATCTGCAGGTACGTCGGTAAGAGGAGCTGCAAGAAGAGCAGGGTCAACCGGGAGGTGAACAAGGACAGCCCCAAAGTGGTGCACAGCATCGACATGGAGGACATCGGCTCCAAGGCCGTCTACTGCCGATGTTGGAGGTCCAGAAAGGTGTGTCACATGTGACTTGCACCTCTCATGGAAGAGCCACTGTCAACAAAGGCAGCCAAACGGGTTACAGAACAATGTAACAATACGGTGTTTAAAAGGAGACTCCTGTGGTATATGGCATGGTTTGCTGTTTTTAACACAGTTGTTTTAAATTCCTATTTTAAATAAGAATAACAATGTTGTCACATATTTCACCCTCATGTGTCACGTTTTATAACAAGCCACATGAGATGGGCTCTAGTCCCCCTGTTATCTGACTAAGATAAACAGTTAGAGGGTGGATGGATGGATGGATGGATGTCTTTTTTCTTCTCACCTTCCACATGTTTTTTTCATTACTTGTGTAATATACTTTGCCCTTTGTTTTTTTTTGCATTTAAAATGAAAGCTTTAAGGAATTACTAGTGAATTACTAGTGATTTGGTGTAAATCATTTGAAAATTAAAGTAAAACAGGTTTATATTTCGCTTGACAGAAAGAACTTTTAATTTTTACTTTAACTACATTGAGCCTTCAGGTATTTTGAAGTCTGAAGGGATTGTTTGTTAAATAATTTGACTGTAGATCAGCATTTTGTGCCATTATTAAAAGTGGTACATTTCAGAGTATAGCCATTATTGTTATTTGTTGCATAGTTGCAGTTTGGGGTGAATTTGCCGTGAAAGTGTGGCATTTCTATTTGCAACAGATTATATTAAAACTGACATTTGGCCCACACCTATGATGGAACACCACTGGATTTAAAAACAATCTACACATTTGGGAATGATGAATGAATATTATAGGAGACCTAGGTTGTATAAAATGTGTAGTAACTCAGTTATTTTCTTCACTTCCTTTTGTAGAGGTAACTTCCTGTTCTTCGCTCCTGTAGTTCAACTAATAGAGCATTGTGCTAACGAAGCAAAGGTTGTGGGTTCAAATCCCAGGGAGCACACATAAATTGTAACTCTACTCTCTGCTGTACTCTTTTGAATTGTGTGCCCACAGGTAACCTTAGTCCCCCCCTGTCTTTCCATAGTTCCCTTATTGCGACGGTGCACACACCAAGCACAACGAAGAGACTGGTGACAACGTGGGTCCCCTCATCATCAAAAAGAGGGACGCCTGATGACCAGCGGACCACTGGCTGGCCCTGTGCCTCTGCATGTCCACATGGTGGCGCTGCCCCTTGTGTTGCGCTGCTCTGTGTATACACCGGGCTTCTCTGGGCTCTCGTCTTCCCGCCGTACTCCGCTACCACACACGTCTGGATCCCCGTAAACATTTTAATGGTGAATGTAAAGATACAGGAAAGACTCAGGTTTAAAAGTAATTTCAGAAGCGAATGTTAGCATGACTATCAGAGCCAGTACAATCCAATCTGTGAATCTCCCTACAGTGGTCAGACAGAAACGCCCCCCCCCACCCCGCAGTAAGAACATGCAGCTCTATTCCCAAGGGAAGCGTTTGTCTTATGTGTACATCAATTCCATCCACTGTGACTGATTTCATTATGATGTATAATTATAATTCCCTATTTCAGCAAATGATCTATTTTGAATAAACTCTGTTGGGAAGAGACAGTTTTCTGTGATGGGAATGTTTGGACACACAGTGTAAAGACCTGAAAGGGCAGTACCAGATACTGCTAATGGTCACAGCGGACCCATATTTCGTGTCCACTGTGACCTGAATTATGGGTCACAAGCTTAATTGACTGCTGATGGATCCGCCAGTCATGTTTGCACGGAACCACTGGTCTAATGTGTGTTATCTACGGAAAAAAAAAAAATATATATATATATGCTAGCACTTAATCTCTCTGCTATGGTGTTACTTTGCTGTTTTATATGATAAACTTTCATTCTTCCAAGCTAATTGTAGAATCTGATTAAATAGATAGTTTTCTTTAAGGGTTTTTATTTGTAGAGCTATGGCCAACAGCAGTATATAGTTAAGTCGGAGGCTGCAGTTCCGTAAGTTTTTTTATTTTTATTTTTAAGGTATCTATACTGCTGTCCCATACGCGTTATGTTTCACATGGGAGTACAAACCCTTTTAAATGCGGTGTGAGGATTTAGAAGTGACCGAGTCTTTCCCACTAGGGGGCACTCTCATTCAAGGTTTCAACAGCGCGCAGGGAATTTCCGTGGAAAAAGATGCACGTCAGTATGACACATGTGTAACCGGTGTCATGCTGGGAAAATACCCGTTTTTCCAAACGATTTCTAACGGGGGAAAAAATGTTTTTTTTTTTAATTATCCTCTGCATATCTCAGTGCAACAATATTTACATAGAACGAGTCGCACAGCTGATCTTATAACCTCAAACCTAAAGGCTTTTTAGTCCGAAAAGGGGCAGATTGGTGTCCTCATCTCCAAATTTTGTCTCCCACGTTGAGCAGGGAAGCAGCCTTCGCAAGCAGATGATGCGATAGTAAGAGCAAGTCACGTCAGTATATCGGGTCTGATCACCGGATGGTGTTTCCCTGGAGTGATGAGCCGATGTAGATGCATAAAAGCGCGAGCTTCAGGAGCCTGGAGCATAAAATACTGGAACGAAGGGCGTGTAGAGAGGTGAGAAACCCTACGTTAAGCATTAGAAAGCAAACAGGGAAGAGTGAAAGAGGATAGGAAGGTGTCTGAAGGAGCGGGTATCTCATGGGCGGACTGGCCGCAGTGTTTTCGCTTGAGAAGCTGGTTGACAGCATTCCACAGTGTCTGGGAAGCCGGACGTTTGCTCCTTCCACTCTCTCTCTCTTTTTTTGTTCAATCTGGCTTTGGGCACTCCTGCGGTGCTGGTCATGCGTCTGGCTGGAGCATGTGGCCATGTGACACTAATCCACCCCTCCCCCCTCCCATGCTCCCTCCCAGCCAAAGGAAGCGCTTTGGCGTTCTCTTCCTCTGCCTCGCCTCGCACATGGGGGAAGACAACAAAGGCCCGAGCGCGGCAGAGGCTCCGACCTGCCGAAACGCCCACCTGAACGTCCGTCGTCGCCGCGAACGCTTTCATCTCACCCCCGCGGAGCATCGGCTCACCGGCAGCCCTTCCGCAGCGGCGGCGTCGCTTCAGAGACCTGCGTGCGCCTCTGCGGAAAAGAACGATGACTTATGTGTGGGCAGCTCACGGGTGCCGCCATATGTAACGTGTGAAGGCAGCGTAGTCGCACGGGGCCGCGGAGCCTGCGGAGGATCCGGCACGGAGGATGGGGTAGCCGGAGAGGGTGTGGGTGACAGGATGGCGGGGCAGGGACGAGTGGGATGTGCAGTAGGAGGAGATGCGGTCAGGCCGGCTAGCCCTGTGGGAGGGCATGAAGATGACAGTCGGATGGTGTGGAAGGGTGAGGAGTGGCTGAAGCGGGGGAGGAGATGGGGTAGCGGGAGGTGTGGAAGTGGGAGCGTGAGGAGGAGTAAAGGGTGTGAGGAGGCAGGTGATGATGGTAAAGGAGAAAAGAGATTAGGAATGTAATGTATAGAGCTATAGGGATTGGGGGAGGAGCAAGAAAGAGGACGGTTAGGGAAACAGGCGTTTGGGCTGCATCCGTCTCCAGCCAACTGGGCCCTTAAGCGCGTCATGAATGCCTGAGATTTTATATTAAACATACGCGCTGTGCATACTGAATGCTCAGCTCTATGCTGTGGTTCATTAGCAATGCTAAATTGAATCCTTACCCTTTAAAATATTTTGTGTGTGTTAATATTATTGTGTGACAAAAGCCAAACATTTTGTTACAGAATGTAACCACCCCCATCTCTCTAACCCATTCTGAAATTCACAAAGCTTCTAAACACGTAGAAATCCGTATAATTACCTCCACTTCCGTTATCATTCAAACTAATGCCATTCCACTATGTATCCTAGATCAGAGCCGCAGTACATGCAGACACATTGAACATAAAGTTAATATGAACCTAATATCTATATATGTGTGTGTGAGTCTTGGTGTGTTTAGTTTAATGGGCTACTGTGAATTCTCCTCGCTTCACACTGTAGACATCAATAATGTTTTCACGGTTCTTATTGAACGAAAAAAAACTGCGATGGGTAACTATTATTTTACTTGATTAGCTTATTTTGCTTGTTCTATGAACAAAAGGACAAAACGGCGCTTTAAAGACTCGCCGGCACTTTAAAGATAAGGGAATATTGGACATTCTCCACGGAGAGCTAAGGGTATTGTACATGAAATGTATGATAAAGCTTAGTTAATTGCCCACTTGTACTTTCTTAGTGTTAAATATGCCTCTTCTTTGTATTATTTGCAGTGTTAACAGTGTTCGATCACGGTGGGTAGAATGAGTGATCAAGCGGCATGTGGACAAATAAGGACAGTTTCCAGACGTGTCCTGCACCTTTCACAGAATATACCATCATTGGCACGTGAACTGTCACGTGGGCTGGCTTAATTGTATTATAAAAACAATATAATTATATTGTTTTTCAAAACCAAAGTAAGACACGGATGAGGCCGTCTGTCGAGGACCAGGGCTGGCCCACTATATACAAAAGGCGCAGCAATTACAGACTTATGCACCATGATTTGTCTTAGACCGATTTTAAACTGATGTACGCATATTAATTTAACCCCAGCCGTTCCTGACTTTTTCTTTAAATTCGGACAACTTGATTCAGGAGTGCAGGAGATCATTCTAGTTTTTATTCTCTCCAAACCTTACTTGGACTCAGGGAGATGAGGTCTTACACCTACTTACTGCAGGTGTGTGCAGTCTAGATTCCTGGTATTTTACTAGAATAAAACTTGGGAAATCTGCATGATTCAGGCACCCCACACGGAGGACAGCCTTCAGTCAAGGAAATCTTTCCCCGAGAGACCCAGGGAAGAGATGATACGCGGCACAGACACTGCTCTAGGGTCCTGGACAGAAAAGCAGACCAAGGATGGGAAGGTTCCGTTATACGGGTCCGAAACACTGAAAGCGAATTCCTGCGAGAGGATTTTCACTGTGCGCTTTCTCAAACAAGGAAGGACACACTTGACACGGAAGTTAGTCAAATTTGACTACGGAAGGTTTCCTGGGACGCTGTTCTGGAAAAGTGAAGAAGAGATTAATTTGAGGGAATATAGTCGGTCTATCTATAAGCCGTAGGAGGGGGATGTCCAGTCCCTAGACAAGAGTGAAATAGGAAACAGATGGTCAGTTAGGTGGTGCAAAACAAGTGGAGCTTGGTAATTGGTAGTTGATGGAAACAAGGAGACGCTGGTGGTTTTTCACTCATGAAACAGAATTTTACGTAGGCTAATATCACCAGTCACTTTCAGCCGTGGTAATTAGACTGGAGTCGACCTTTGTGTAACACGTATAACAACCTCTGTGGATATTGTCATATGTCCATACGTTGCCGGTTGCCACTCATTAAACCTAACAGCTAGAATGAGCATATTAAATGCCCATATGAGTTTATAGAAAGCTGGACAGATCGCCAGAATGGCCGAGGCACCCTGGAAAGACCGCGGTTCAAAAGCCCTCGTATGGATGTGTATCTTGTCGTTTTCCTCCATATTCCCTTGAGGGGAACCCAGGGTCATAACAGATACGGCTCAAGGAAAAGAGAAAAACCGTCTATTCGCATCTAGTACTATAGCGGAATGGGTGGCGCTATGTCCATGCGTACGAGAGTATATATAGGGTAGTTGCTGGGGGGTCGGTGTGTAAAAAAACAGGAATGTGGACAAGCTGAGCGGGGCCAGGAAGAATGTGGTCAGCCTGGACTGTGTAAAAAGATAGGAGCAGCCACTGTGAAAAAGTCAGCACGGGAGTGCATAGCCGTCGCCAGCAAAGCGGGATCCGGCGTTTTACTGCAATCACAAAACATTTTCCAATTATTCTAATACTCTCCACCTGATTGAGTAGATAAATAAGTGCCTTTAAACCGGCCACTGAGCTACGTGTCCTACGTCCCCCGTTCTCTCAGTGTTTTATTTGCCGTTGACAGTTTTCGGTTTGTTTGCAAGAGTGGGTCACAAAAAAAGCGGTCAGCACAACGGCATGGAGGCGATTTCCAAAACGGAGAGGGGGAGAGGCAATGCAGTCTGGATAACATAAGATACGGTGAAACCAGGCACTTTGCCAGTATAAAAGAGACGGTTTTCCCTCCAAGGGATTACGGAGCAATGCGTGTCAAACCTATTCACAGCGGTGCGTTGTCTCAGGGTCTGAAGCGACCATTGTGCGCTTATCTCGCTGACGGGCCCCGTGTTTGTTCGCCCACTGCCACGAAACACGTCGGCGATAAAAGACAAAGGAGTGGACTGGAAAGAGAAAGGTGACTTCTTTAGTTCACGGCCGTAGATAAGCTGTTATCTTTTTTTTCTAGCAACGCAGTATGCCCAACAAACATATTATAGATGTACTACATTATTTAACTCACTGTTAAGCGCGACCATATAGGGGAGTCGATCTGAATACGTTTCAATATTAAAGCCGCGTCATATTCCGAACGATTTTTTTTTCTGTAACCATTTCCACTCACACTTAAAATATATAATCAAGAAAAAATATGTAATTGATAGTGTGCTATATTATCGTAATAATACATGGAAACGCGCCTGCTTTTTCAGTGAAGTCGGGGTTAATATCTGCAGGTGTTGATGCTAATGTCATCGTATATAAAGTTTTCTAAATCCATAAATATTGCATTATACTCTCAACTGATTGTAACAGGCTGCGTTAATATCGTTTTTGGGTAGCGTACAGTTCCCATCGCTGTGAATACAGGTCGACTAAGGTGATTGATTTGAATAAAAAAAAAAGTGTGGTCAGTTTGTTTAGAAACATCAAAGTTCATCATGCAAACAAAGTTCATCGCGTCAACTCCAAAGAGTTAAAGGGGGTTAAACGCAACGATCCGTATGTTTACTGTCAATATTGGCAAATTCTGAAATAGTGACAAAACTTGCGAAACGCTTTTTTTCGCCTTCAAGTTACTTTCTGCCATGATCAAGGTCCAAATGTCCTGTAGGTAAAGCTGGTATACGCTTGTTTCGCTCCAGCGCATGGACTGTACCCATTATACATGCAGTTTACAAGGAATTCATGGGTTGGTATATATCTTAAAATATGTTTAGAATCGTTGCCAAACGTTAACACGCGATTATTCGCAGTCAGCAATTCAAAGCGAACAGTTACTAATAGTGCTTATAGGATTATGGAATCGCTGTATAATGTCTGACGCCCCAAGAACAATGTGCTTGGCCTTAAGTGGGAGATTAACGTCTAGTTGCGCTTGCGTGAGTGTCTTTGGGGGAGAGACTGACGGTTCCTGGACGTGAGGTCTCGGTCGGTGCCGCCGCTGCCGGTGAAGCTCTCTCTCCCCCCCCCCCCTCCTCGCTCTCTGGCTGCTGTGTTATTTTCCAGCTCGGAGCCCCAGCCCGCGTGGCTCGATCGATTCGCATTGATTGTCCCTGACGAGCTGCTCCACTTTCCAGCCAATGTCAGCCAGTCTGCGATCGGGAAGAAGAGAAATGAAGGAAAATCTCTGCCGCCCTGGCGGTGTCATTTCCACACACTTCAGTTGGCCGCCTGCCAGCAGACAGGACACTCACAAGAGGTGGAGTGGACTTCAGCGTTTGCAAGAAGAGGAGCCGGCTACCTCGCTGGCCTGAGCGACGATTTCGGTTGACCACTGCCCACCCACCTTAAAACTGTCAAATTATACCTGCCATGTGACATAATTAAGCTTGCTCTAAACACGATATACCTTTAATTGTACCCTGTGTTTACCTACATAAGAGGCACCGCATATAGCCTATGCATGTATATTGATCACACGTCGGTTCCAACTCGTCGTTTATTATCGACTTTGTTTTAGTTAAACACGGGCAGAAATGATTACTTGGTTAGGTGTATATATGTATCCATCGACAAAATCTGAGCAGTGTGTGTTGTACGGGAGAAATTTGCGAATGTGAAAAATCAATAGTGAAATGCGCGAGACAAGATGTTACGTGATGATGTATAGTACAGATTCATATGACATGCAACTTTTAGTGTTTTATAAAAGGATCGCCGCGTCTGTAATCATATGTAGCGTACAATTACAAAACCATTAATATTCAATATGTTTTAAATAGACGGGTATTAAATATTATTGGTATAACTTATTCGGGGGTGCCGTTATGGTAAGATAGCTGTCACCTAAAGTGGGTAATGAGACTATTACGTAGAAAAATGCACCCCAATGTACACAGTGTATAATCCAGAACACGTATATTTATCTTATGGCTGAAGAATTGGCTTCCTTCCCCGCCACTCTGTAGGACCTCCGTGGAAATGCTTATATTTCCGTCATATATTTTACGTTGCTAAGTACTGAGTAGCCTACGTTTGAGTCTGGAAGTCAAATTTAAATAAATGCCATGTCACATGACATTTAAACTTTTTTGTATCACATCAAAAGCACAGCAACAGTAACACCAGAAACATTATTATTATTGTTGTTGTTGTTGTCATCATCAGTAGTATAATTATTGTGGTAATGTTATGGTCCTAAAACTTGGTATTACTAAAAGGAAGAAATTAATAAAATATTTTTTTCCAATAATATAATAATGTACAAGGCATTTTAAAATCATAACTAATTCCCCAGCTAACTTCTTTCTTCACCGCTACAATTGTCAAGTGCAGAAACACTTCAACAGAGCATGTGCTCCGTTTGTTTTACAGGACAGCCGAGTCAAAGTTCTTGGTAAGTATGAATGTGTTAAATGAAAGTTCTCTCTTAAAGAGGTATGACGAAAAAGTCAATCTGCTTTCCGCTAAGAAAAATCATATTGTCCGTAAACAGTGAATAGAGGGGAAGCCAGAGTCCTGTGCGTATGCACGCGGTCTGAGAAACAGCCTCGATTTTATATTTAAAAATGAATGCGTCTTCTATAAAAGACATTCACACATTCAGAAGAATTCGACTTAAATAATAATGGATATTACATCACGTTTGCTTAATTTTAATGTTTTATTACCTTTGGCGTTATATTTTATCTCGATTTCTCTTATTCGGAAAGTCCATTTCGGTTTTTACGTGAAGCTCCAAAAATCTATGAAATGTGTTTGCATGTTCTTCCCCGCGAGCAGGGATGTAGAGGTGGGATAGCAAGAATCGAAAGGTTGGAGCCCACACGCTTGCCTCCGAGAAAGTACGTTTTACAATTATTTATCACTTGATTTCCTTCGCGCTAATTTCTGCCGGTGGGGTTTATATTTCTTTTGAGTGAGAATTTTATTTTTTCCCTGTTTTTGCGTCAATCTCCATAGCAGGCACGCCGACGGACCGCTTGGACGGTGGGATCACTCCCCTCCGCTCGGATCTGCTTTGGTAGGTGCGAATGAAAAGGGCCTGTGTTTGCAAATATGCAGATATATTGAAGGGGGGAATCATAGTTTGTTGAAGTCTGTTCAAAGTTGGGATGTCATCTTCCTAACGATCAAGTTAACTGGGAGAACGGGAGAATGTTTTTTCTTTATCCCCCGCGACGTACCAGAGCAGACCGAGTGCTGGTACCGCAGACACCCCGGTTTCAGATCAGTGAGTCTAGACAAAAGGTATTTTTGTATTACTTTAATGTTAATAAATGTCGAATTTATTCATTCATGCGCATACCTGATGATTTCATTGTGATTAGTTCGGTTTAATACGAGACTGCGCTGTAATGTAACTTTTGCGAATTTAACGCTGTTAGAGAATATTCCAAAATTAGTTCTTCTGACGGGGGACCGATATCGCGGATTTCCTTTCACGTATGAGGATAATATTATTAATGTTCATTTTAAAGTGCGTTAATGATTCACAAGTGACAAGGCTGGTTACTTGAAAGTGTCTTTCGCAGTCGGTAATACAATTCATTAAGTGAAAATTAAAGATAAATTGTTGAATTTAAAAGCACAGTATAGGAAAATGTTACAAGTTTCCTCTGGACTCGGAAATAACTTTACCAACCATTGATATTTCTCATGGTATTTATTAACATAAATCTATGTATTTAAATATACATACGCCGTTATTTATCACGTATTGCGCTATATCGGGTTATATCTCGTTACCAGTTTTCAATACCAAAAAGATCGTGAATTACTTTGGTGTATTTTATTGTGGTAGAATGAGCAGTCGGGGTTACGTATCGCCGAGGAGAAGCGAGCAGCCCGTCTCGCGCTCGCCTTGTCCCCCTCGCCTGACGCTGCTGCGTGCGGGGATTTACTGCGACCCCTCGGCACTGCCGCAATCCACGGCCGGCCGCAGCGCTCGTCAAGGCTGCGTGTTGTGTTTGCAATTAGGTGCCGCGGATCCAGATCAATATAAAATATAGATTCGCTATGTTTTAAACTTGTCCTGTGCCTGTGAGCGAAGAGCGTATGGACTATATAATACAAGGAATAACTTCATCTATAAGTAATATAATTAAAGTCGTTATTGATGGTAGATCTGAACTGGATCCAATGAGTGAGTAAGCGCGGTGTGGGGGTGTGTGTTCGCCTGAGAGGAAGCGCTACGCTGGGCTCTGCATTACCTGAACTAATAAATATCTGACTCTGCGCACCTCTCATGAGATCGCCAGGAGCAACTTAAAGCGGGTCTTGTTATGCATGTTGGCCGCAAACGGCGCTGCTCCGATAACTTTGATTTTAAAATGTAACTACATTATATCCACATGAATGACTGTTCCTGTTGTTGACGTATCCAATTACTTATGCAGTGCGCCGATTAGGGATCAAAACAAATGGTGAGATAAGAAGAGATGTATTTGTTTTATACATTAATAATTGTATAAGGGTCGTTGGTAATTTTCTAGCACCATTTTTGCCAGATTGCTCGTGGGTGTGTTGACTAAGGTTCATTTGTAGGTGGGCTAATTATTTATGGTATTCCTCCGAGTAAAAAAATAAAATAAATAAATAAATAACCAGAGCAGCGGTATCGTTTTTTGTTAAGATACTGACGGCTTGGAATGCGACCATCCAGCGCGTGCTATGCCGGGCACGGCTGGGAACAGTTGTTTGACGCTGTGCATTTGGGCCCTGCCACATACACCACGCTGGCATACCAGAGGGACAGGGCTAGGGCCAAGACCGCTGCTCTACGGCATCCACCACTCCTCGATCTCAGGCGGAACGTCAGTGTTTTAGATATTAATTCTCCGAGGGGGATAGTTACTGCCGAGCTCCGTCCCCATGGGACGGACAACAGGAAGATGTTCGCAGTTAACGACTATTCTTATTGGAAGGTAGCTATTTCGGTAGAGGCTTCAGGGATACGGTAATATATATATGTTGTCCTATAATAGAAACGTGCTGTTGTCAACATAAAAATTGTAATTATTGGTAATATTATTATTTTATATATATATATATATATATATACTACTAGTGTCTGTCTTTGTTAATACATAATAATAATAATAATAGCCACATAATTAAAAATCAATAGGAAGCACTAGATAATTTTTTGAAATATATATATATATTTTTAATATTTCCCTGACCCATGAAGTTGAAGATGCTATTCTGAAAGTTAGTCCTTGGCTGTATTGAAAATCAGTCTCCCATTGAGGTTGAAGCCTCAGTGATGCATCTGTGCACGGCCATAATGGAAGTGCACCTCAGTCGCTGCATGGTCTTGGAGGGCCAAGGATGCACTTAGCGCCCACTGCCATGCTAGGGGTTATTAGGGGACATGCCCCCACAGGTAGCACAGGTCGGTGTCTGTCACCATGCTACGACCTGCCTGGGGCGTTAGCGAGCCTCGTAGCATAGCTGCTGCTGGCTAATATACTCGTGTTTGACAGCCTTAATGGACCAGCTCAAAGGACAGCGAATCGAATGACCTCGGAGAGAGTGTGACACTGGAGGGGACACAACTTAATAATTTAAATGCAAAGGTCTGTTTATTTGTGGGGGGGGGGTGAATGAAGCCAAAATAGATATTGGGGGATACATGTCCCCTCTGGGTCCTGTGCCCCCTGAATGAATCTGGCTTGGGAAGATAGATGGGAAGGAATGAAGAAAGTTGGGTACATTAATGACAGGAACATTGAGTGATGGGGCACAATGTACCTGGTTTACTAGGTGTTTACGGCCAATCTATATTAGTCTGTTACCCTCTGTTTTAATAAAATACTTGGCTTGACATATTTATGGTAAAACGCTGGGGTTGGGTCAAAAGCCGGAGATGTGGTGGCCTCTCACTACAACCAGGAGAGCAACGGGAGAACCTGCGAGGAAAGTTGTAGGACCAGAGGGAGAATGTGACAAAGGGATGGAGGAGATGGTGGCCATCAGCGGTTGGGGGTGGGAACGTGGAGCGGGCGCTGGACACGGACGGTGGAAACGGGTTGCCGGTCACGGATGCATAGAGGCGGACGGCGTGTGACAGTCAGGAAGGGCGGCTGCCGATCGGCGCAGTGGGGGGGGGGTTGAGCGCTGGCGGCGGTTCCGACGGCGAGGGGGACGGGCGAGCCCTGCAGCTCCCTGTGAGGCGCGGTAGAGGATGGAGAGTGGCTGGCCCGGTCCGCCGGCGCCGCGGGCTCCGGAGCTGGCGGGAACGCGGGGGCTGCGCTTCTGCCTTTGAAGCTCTACCTCCTACTAATTCTGGCCTTCCAATTTCCACAGAGTTGCTGGGCCGCCTCATCTCCCCCCTCCCTTTGTTTCCCTTATAAGGGCTGGCTTGGCGATTTCCTTTTGCCTTTTCTCTCTGGTGTCGTGTGTGTGTGTGTGTGTGTGTGTGTGTGTGTGTGTGTGTGGCCTCCAATGGCCAGATATGGAGAATTAAAGAGAAGGTTGTTCTCGCGCCTTCAAATGAGAAAATTCTGATGATGTCATAATGGGGGGAGTGACACATCACGCCATGGACACAGTCACGCTGGCGGTGATTGTGCTGGTTTTGGTGGGAGGGGGCTGACCCTGGTTTGGACCCTGTGTCGATCTGAGCTGCTTGTCATAGATCTGACATTTGTCATTGATTTTTTTTTTCCTTATCCTTTTTTTCTTTTAAGATGAATGTTTATTACGAATCTAGTGAAAATCATGTGTTGGTCCATGAGTCACAATTAGCAGATGCTTGAAATCGGCAGAAAGCTGATTTATTGTGTACATTTGATATCATATTGTGGTTTTCTGTTGTCTGTGTCATGCAGTTTACCAATGAAATGTTTAGTTTTGCATGATAATTATTCCTCACTGGAGATGATGTCAGATGTGAGACTCAGCCGTGTGTCTATCCCGAGGATCTCCCTGATCACATGGCCACATGGATCACATGGTCCCGGCCACACCTTAAACCCATCGCCCTGTAGTCATGGTGACATTTTGCTTCCGGCTTCTTCTTCCTGTGTGATGAGTGTCCCCTGTCCATTTCAATGGATTGTCCTTCCCCCCCCCTCCCCGTTTGCTGAAAATCTCCACCCCCCCCCACCATCCATCTTTTAAACCCTGTGCTCCTCTCCCCCTTCCCCCCCATCAGCTTACAGTCGGCCTGAGTAACAATGTGGACGAAGGCGGAGCTCTAGAGTGCGTTCCTGGGCTCCGGGGGCTTCCATTGGTTGACCCATCAGCGGGGGAGTGGTCACTCTCACCTGGGCTTTGAGCAGACGGTTCGCCATCGGCAGGCCCCCCCCCCGCCCCCCGCACGTGCTGGACCATGTCTAGCGGGCGTCCCGAGGGAAGCCACAGCGCAGAGGCCCCGGACAAGAGCAGCTGCGGGGAGGACGGCCAGCCCCCTGCCCCGGAGCGGCGGAGTCGCAGCGGCATCATCAGCGAGCCGCTCAGCAAGAGCCTGAAGAAGTCGCGAGCTCTGTCGCAGTACACCGCCAGCTGCTCAGCCGCCAACGGACTCGCCCACAACGGCACCGCCGACGCCAAGGGCAATGCTACCTCCACGCAGCAGCGGGCCGCCAAGGCGGAACGGGCCTCGGAGCCGGCCCTCGAGGGACACAACGGGCTGCATTTTGCCCAGGCTGCCGAACTGCTGAAGCGGGCCGGCATGCTCCTGCCCGGGGAGCAGGGTGGCGGCGCGGGCGACCCGGACGGCGTGTCCGCGGCGGACGCCGTAGGCCCTGCCGACTTTCCCTACATCGGCGGCTTCCCCTTCAACCCGGGCCTCTTCATCATGACGCCCGCCGGAGTCTTCCTCGCCGACAGCGCGCTGCACATGGCCGGCCTGGCGGAGTACCCCATGCAGAGCGAGCTGGCCTCCGCCATCAGCTCGGGCAAGAAGAAGCGGAAACGCTGCGGCATGTGCCCGCCGTGCCGCCGGCGCATAAACTGCGAGCAGTGCAGCAGCTGCCGGAACCGCAAGACGGGCCACCAGATCTGTAAATTTCGCAAGTGCGAGGAACTTAAAAAGAAGCCGTCCGCGGCTCTTGAGGTGAGCCTCCAGGGGGACACTGGCCATGGGGGGTGTGAGGGTGGGGCGGGGCTTCTTTAGGAGGGGCAGATGAGGTAAGGGTTAGATTAGATTATGTGATGCCTGGGGCGGGGGTTGGGGTGTGTCTGGGGTCGAGACAGGATATGCGAGGGGGATTTACTCACGCCGGAGGATTGCCTATAATCTCTCCTCCATCTTTCATCGCATCAGTGTGGTTAAAACTGGCTATCAGCGGCCATCTTTATCTGGGTAATGCGTGCTTTCGGCTAGCGGATTGCCCTGTCCGAGTCCCACTTGATGTGTCTCTAATGGAGGCCGCCGCGTGCGGGCTGGGCTGGTCTCTGAGTGAGTGCGTGTGTTTGATGGCATGCATGCCTAAAGGAGGGCTGTGCCGGGCTTGGGGGGTGTGCATGGGAGGGGGGGGGGCGTGGAGGGCTCGGTCAGTCCATCTGGCCGTGGGGCTGTCATCTGGAGCACCAGGTGTCAGTGTGGCACAGACGCTTCCCTCCCGCCCAAGACGACTAGCCCTGCTCATCTATGTGGTGAGAAGCCCCCCCCCACACACACACACACACACACACACACGCTCCCCTCCAGCAGGGTCGCTCCTTCATGCGATACATCCACCCCCCCAAGTTGCTCACTCTCCAGCTCCCTTCTGGACACTTGCAGGCCTTGACATCTCCTACCTCTGCTTAGAGCATTTCTCGAAAAACAGAAGTTTTATTTTGTCAGGCCAAAGACATGCAGCTGTACGGGAATTGCGTGAAAGACTTAGGGTACATACAGGTCCTGGCTGCTATATAAAAATAAATGCTGTGTTTTACCCTTGATGTCTAATCCACACGTCAAAGGTCCCGACAGCAGCGTCACTGTAAGCTCGGACCCGGAGAAGCCTCGGGCCGGTCCGTAAATAAACGGTACACATCAGCTGGTTACATGCTGTTTCCTACACGGCACACGGGGTGCCTACGATTTCAAGAAAGGAAGGTGTCTAACTGGGGCACTGGTTAAGGTTAACCGTTCGGGCCAAACACCAGCTCTCCCGAGTTGGTGTATCGATTATTACTTAGTATAAACTGGCGAATGATTTTCCTCGCCAATACCGTTAGATGTGAAATTGACAGGAGCAGCAAAGTGAGATAAATAAAGAGACTGGTCAATATGATATTATTATACCCGTATCTTGTGTCCTAGCTTAGCGCTTAGCGGAAACCACCAGGTTGAGTTGATCCGCCGTCATTCTTTGGCGTCACACTCTAGCCCATAATGAGGCCGGCATTTCAGCAGCTGCGTGTTTAATTTCACGGAGGAGCTCGTGCTCATGGCGGGACTTTGGCGGGCTTGGGGCTCCTGGCTGGATGGTAATGATGAACCTCTCTGGGACATTAAAACCTGATGAAGGTGTGGGTACAGGTGGGTAATTCAGGTCCAGAAAGTAAAAATCCAGACCAAGATTTTGTTTCAACCAACCAGTTGAGTACTGTGTGACTGTGACTCTTTATACTCAACTGGTTGGTTGAAACAAAATCTTGGTCTGGATTTTTACTTTCTGGACCTGAATTACCCACCTCTGGGTATGAGGTTGAGGAGGGGATATCAAGGACAGCCAACACAGGGGGTCTGTCCTTCAATCGCGGGGTGCCAGTTATCACGGGATGCCAATCACCTCCGCCAACTCCTGACTTTCTGACACGGACAGTGTAGAAGAAAGTCAGACCCAGTTGGCATCAATCTGCTTGCCACTCTACTCACTTGAACCAGAGGACCAACAAGTACATAAAATCTGAGTGGTAGAAGGTGTCTATTCTGGTGCGGAAAGGTCCACCTTGGGTAAGCAACATGAAGCGTTCACTGTAGAGAAGGAGAACACATCCGAAGGACTCCGGGTCCTACAGCGACCCACATGTCCTTTTTTAGTATCCATACGTGTTTTGGTATATTTACAAATGATTTACTTTTATATAAAGTCTTTTACTGTCGAGTGCTACATTGTTCTCTTATACAAAAAGTCATTTAAAGGCACAGTCCCAAGCCCCAATATTCTGTTCTGCGCACTGACACGCGTGTTCAGGACACACACGGCTCTCCGGCATGCGTGTCCATAGCCTTACGGGGTTGTTAGCATGTTTTTGAGGGAGGAGAATATGTGAGCACACACTGTTCCATCACTGTGCTGGGGATTCCACACGAAGGGCCGTGAGCTCCAGGGGTTTGTGTGTGTGCGCGTGCGTGCGTGTGTGTGTGTGTGTGTGTGTGNACGGGCCACCAGATCTGTAAATTTCGCAAGTGCGAGGAACTTAAAAAGAAGCCGTCCGCTGCACTGGAGGTAAGGGTGTGAGGCGCGACCGAGGGGGTCGAGGCACTAAGGGTTCCTGGAGGCGGGCGTTAAAAAAGGGCTCTGGATGGAGGGATTAGACCGGGTAGAGGCTGGAGGGATGGAGCGCTGGGCGGCGCTGGGATCGGCTAGGGAGGAAGGCGGGGCTTAAGAGGTGAGGATGTGATGTAGGTGGGGTTTAAGAGCTAATAGGATGGGATGAGGCTGTGATATCGGGGAGTGACAGGTGGTGGAATAGAGGATGTTTGTGGCCAGACACACGGACACACACACGCACACACACACACGCACACACACACACACACACACAGGCAGCACAGGATTCCCTTTAATCTTTCCACCCTCCCCTCCACATATCCACCCCCCTAGTTGAAATTGACAAGTGTCGGCCATCTCTATTCTATATCACCCCCCCACACACACATCCTCTCAGCAAATGAGCCGGCTTAAAAAAAATATCCCCCCTAAGCACAATCTCCCATATTGGCGATCGGTCCATGTCCGGGCGCTGTGTGTGTCTGTGCGTGTGTATGTCTGTGCGTGTGTGTGTCTGTGTGTCTGTGTGTGTGTGTGTGTGTGTGTCTGTGCGTGTGTGTCTGTGTGTGTGTGTGTCTGTGCGTGTGCGTGTGAGATGCCTGTAACTGGCGCGCCCAGTCCATCTGGCACCGGGCTCATCATCTGAGGCGCCAGGTGTCACCGCCGCGCGCCTGCTCTCCCCAAGCCCGCGCCCCGTCCCCGCCGTGTGTCCGCAGGGCCTCCGCGCCCACCACCCCCCCACCCTCCCCATCACGGTCGCCCCCCTGCCATGGTTTCGAAATGAAGAGCATGGCGTCATTAGTCATGTCAGAAGCCAGTGAGGACGTGTCAGGATAGCCTGCATGCTGGGGGGGGTGGTGGTGGGGGGGGTTGGGGGGTCGGGTGTTCACTTTCACCCCTGGGGGGGTTTCCGGGTCCCGGCTAAAGTGTGAGGTTAGGGATATTTTGCAGGATGATTGACATCGTGTCTGGTGGGGGGGTGGGGGGCGATTCGAGATTAGGGTGAGCTTGGGGGGGGGGGTGGGCCTGCGTTAGCGGATCATCCTGAGGAACGGCGTCGAGTCAGAGCCGGAACGTGGCCCGGACAGAGCCGATGGGACCTGTTTGGTTATTACCACAGTGTGGGACTGCGCCAAGGACACCAGGAACTCTCTGGCTGCGTGTAGGCCGGTCAAGCTTAGGCTCATAGAGAGAGACTTTGCCGCGCGTGATCTGGATCGGGCCGGTCCGACGCTTTCCTGCCCCAGGGCCGACGCAGTGCTTCTGACAACTTCGGGTGTGACTCTGAAGATTTCTCTGCTCCAAAGTTCATGTTACGTCAGGTTCAACTCTGAACAGTCACTCTTAACATGTATGTTGCTTGATATCTCATTAATTCCTTACAAGTTGCATAATCTCATCAATTATATTGTATTTGCAGGGTAGTCTGTCACGCAATGGAGTTTAATTGCATATAGATGATGGTACTCTGGACTGTGTCTTACTGCTACGATCTACATACTTTTTGTAATTGTCTATGTTTAAACGTTTGTCTATGGGACCAATTTGTGGCAAGATAGCTAACTGGCTAAATATCTAGCTAAACTTTATAAGCACAGTATTTCGTAAAACTGACATATGTAAGAAAAAAAAGTTGCATCTAGTCTGTTGGGGTTTGATTGTAAATGATACTTAAACATAAGATGAAATAGCTGTAATGTAATTTGAATAAAAATTTTGCCCCCCCGAATTTGAGTCAGATGGTTATCAATTATTTGTCTTGCCGAAATAAAAGCTAGATAAAACATAAAGAATGAAGAAGTTCCTTACGTCTTCGCTAAATGCAGAAATGCCTCCTAGCTGCCTAAAGACAGAATGAATCCTTGTTAGTTTAGAATTCGCTTATTTATGAACTCATTGAATCGGTTTTGACACGGAAACAAATTATTCAGCCTACTTTATAGTGGCACATTTCTTTGTTCCTGCCTGGAAGGAGCAGCTTGGGCATTTAGCACGGTGCCACACAAATGCAGCGAACGGCTAAATTAATTAAGCACTATTCACTTGTAGCTGTAATTTTATAGTGTGCTATCAAATTGCGTATAATTGCTAGTTTTTCTACTTCTCGGTCGTGTTTCCAGTGAACATAACGCTCATATCATAAGCAACAGCTGACTGGCCACACGTGTTTATGCTCTGTTGGTTAATACATGCAATTATGAGGGGAAAATCTATTTTTGCTATAGACTATTGACCATCATCGCTTGAAGCACACAGGTAGAACAGCCCTTCAGAAACCTTCAGATCGGTGAGGTGACTGTCACCGAAAGCCTGAAAACATCCTACATTCATAGTCATTTTAGCTTCTGTGAACTTCATTCCCAGGGTATCCTCGCCGCACATCAGATCACATGAGGGTTTAGCGAGGACAGGAACACACAGATTCATCATTGGGACTTGTCGGGTTCTGAGTCGTTGATGGAGGACGTTGAAGGCCAGCACCCCACCAGTCCGGCCAGTCGTAGGCGCAGGCGAGGTCCTGCTAGTGGAATCGAACCCCAGCCGAGAGCCTTATTGGCACACATCATCTATGTCAGACTTTTCGTGGGGGTCGTTCGCCGGGGTCATCGCCTGCCGTCCTGGGGTCACAATGACCTGTTGAAGTTCTCAAAACAGCACACAAATGTTTTGTTTACGTCGTTTGCTAACTGAAGGCCTTCGTCCAAACGAAATCTAAGTTACTCTGATGCCAAGAGTTCGATTTTTTTCCCCCCCAAATATCATATCAGTCTCTTCCAGTCTTATGTTTAATTAATTCAGTCTTCGGGAAGAAAAAAGAAGCCAGACTTTAAGTCATATATTGTACAAAAAATTAAAAAAATAATATTGCACACACATACAAAATATATAGAGTTTTTATCCTTTATTTACTTTTGCCCACTAAGTCAAATACGGATGCTTGATTCACCAAAGTAGAAGCCCAAGCACAGGTATGTCGGGATTTCAGTAGCTTTTGCATATCCCATCATGCTTTGCTTTGAGGTGAGAGGTCAGAGTTTTGTTTGTAAAGAGGAGCTGTGATTTTGCGCTGCTTTTTTAAGTGCGTTTGTTGTCTGTCGACTGGAAAACCAGGTGATCGGTCGGGCTCTGCTTGGAAAGTCAGTGGATCGGGCAAAATGGACAAGGGGTCGAGTTGCGCCGCGCTTTTGTGTACGTGTGCATTTTTAATTTTTTTTTTTGGGCGTATTGGGGCACGTCCTGCAGAGCTTCCGGCAACAACTGCCGCCAGGCTCAGCCCAATTCGCATGTAGGTCCGTAGGTGTGAAAACATGCCGCGTGTCACCGGAGATGCACTTTCAAGCACGAGAAACCGAGAGGCTGTCACTGTTAAAGCCGAAAGCTAGTTACTAAATAGCCTGGGTGAATATTTGGTCTGTAATTGTCCTGATTGTGAATGAGTCGCACCTTCCTTCGTGACGCACTATGGATTACGGCTTCTGGGAAGATAATAAGAGCAGTACTGCATGTGCTTGATGCGTCCATGCGAGTGGGGCGCCGTAAATCTCGCAGGGGAGAGGTTCCGAAACGCTAGCTCTGTGGCGGGGGGGGGGGTGGCGCCAGCCAGACCTCTGGGCTGTTTTCCATCGAAACCTCACGGTAGCCCAGGGGCGGCCGTAAAAACGGGGCCGAGATGGACGTGGCGAGCCGGACCGCGCTGGTGGGAGGTGTCTGTCGTTATTTTAGGAGCCTCGCAGATGAACAGAAATGTAAGGGCTGCAGGAGACGGCCTGGTGGAGAAGCAGCTCAGTACGGGGAGATGGAGCACAGCATGTACCCGTAGCAATCCTGTGGGACCTGACACACCATGTGGGGTCTGACATGTATGATGTATGTGTAGGAAGAACAAGGGGAACCATGATCCAGACCATGTGGGGTCTGACATGTATGATGTATGTGTAGGAAGAACGAGGGGAACCATGATCCAGACGATGAGGGGTCTGACATGTATCTACAGGGACAACGAGGGGAATCAGGATTCAGGTCATGAGGGGTCTGACATGTATCTATAAGAACAGTAAAGGGAACCATGATGCGGACCATGAGGGGTCTGACATCTATCAATAGGAACAGTAAAGGGAACCATGATCCAGACCATGAGGTGTCTGACATGTATCTACAGGAACAGTAAAGGGAACCATGATCCAGACCATGAGGGGTCTGACATCTATCAATAGGAACAGTAAAGGGAACCATGATCCAGACCATGAGGGGTCTGACATCTATCAATAGGAACAGTAAAGGGAACCACGATCGACACCATGTGAGTCTGATCTGGTTAGGCCAGTCCAGCACCAAACGTTAATACATCCACACACATGTGTATGTTTCTGGAGGTGAACACTGCATAATATTTTGGCTACACTTGTCATTGTATGCACGCACATGTTTTTTTGTAAGCTCATGTTAGCCCGTTCTGTCTGTTCCGTCACACATCTGCGAGGACGCCGGCAGCGTCCAGGCCTGCAGCGGTCCCCGGACACTTGGAAGGGGCACATGTGTGGTCAGCTGGCTCATCCTCGCTGTCTCTAGTTGATTATTTATTCATCTCTTCATTTATTTATTGCTGCAGCTGCGAGCTGCCCTTTGTCTGCCGTTGGCAGGCCGGCTCTGAGGAGGGATGTGACCGACTTTTGCGTTCTCCCCCACCCCCCCCCCCCAAAAAGGCCGCCATAGGAGCCGGGATGCAAACAGGGGAGAGTTCGCATCCTCTGCCAGGCGGCATGGGGCCCGAAGGGGCAGGGGGGGGTCACCTGANGTGTGTGTGTGTGTGTGTGTGTGCGCATGTGTGTGTGGGGGGGGTGGCATCGTGGGGCTTGAAGGGGCGGCATTGACAGGGCCTTCAGGCTGTTTTCCATTGAAACCTCACGGCAGCTGCGAAGCCTCCATAAAAAAATGGGGGGGGGGTGGCGTGCAGGGCTCTCGCCACTTTATACCGCACTGGCTGGAGGCGTCAAACTTTATTTTAGGAAAGCGACGTTGGCTGAACGGAAATAAAAAAAAAAAAAAATCCAGTGTGTGTGTGAGCAGGAAGCGAAACAGGCGCACTGTGACACAGCGAAGTTCTGGGCCGCCAAGGCAGCCCAGGCTGGGTCCTTATAAACCCACGCAGATCGGCCGCCGTTTGGACCTGGACCTCTGCGCTTCACGGTTTGGCTGTAACTTGCCATTATTTAAGTCATAAACACAGTTTAGGTAACGTTTTAATGGTGACCAGGATTCACTTACTGTAAGACTGGAGTGCTTGTTCGTGTTGATGTGGAGTTACATAGAGGGTTTATTTGTGTGATGTCTCTGGGTCAGTGACCGTGTGTATCCCGTGTGTATCCCGTGTGTATCCCGTGTGTATCCCGGGTGTATCCCATGTTTATCCCGTGTGTATCCCGTGTGTATCCTGTGTTGGGCGTTTCGCCTGTACTGTAGGTGTTTCTGGTGTGTGTGTTTGTGGTGTGTGTGTGTGTGTGTGTGTGTGTGAGAGTAGGTGTGTTTTCCTTGAGGTGCCCCTGCGTGATAATGGCCGCCATGCGTGTGCGTGGTTGGGGCCGCGGATCAAAGCACCTCCATCTCCAGAAGGGTTATTAGTCTGGGTCCTGTGCCACGGGAATGTGAGGCTGCCCCGTCGGCGTTGGCATGTCAGTGGGAAGGGGGGGCGGGGAGGGTCAGTACGTTCCCCCTCTGGCTCGTCCAGCATTTCTGACTGACAGCGCTCCCAGACGGAGCGTAGACGCACAAGGCACACACCTGTCGGGGTCGCAGTTGGAGGGTGTTTGCATCTCGCACGGTTTGCGTTTGAGTGCAAAGCGTTTGCGTAACACATGCGTGTGCGTGTGTTTCTGGGGAGGAGGGACGGGCGAGGTCAGTCAAGGTGACACCCCCTCCCCCCCCCATCCATGGTGTGGTAGATCTTCCTTGCATTTTTGAGCTCTCCCCAAGAAATGCTCTATACTCCCATGCCCCCCCCCCTGCAAGAGCCCCAGAGGCCCTGTGGTTAGGAGGGTTAGGACCCCCCCCCCCCCCCCCCAATGGTCAGTCTCCCTGTGCCCCCCCCCCCGTGACATCCGGATCCCCCCTGCCCGCACCCCGAGTGGGAGGCCATGTCACTCCTTTATAGGTCAGGCCTTTCCCAAAGGTCCGGATCGGGTTACGTGCCGCTGAGCTCGCCGTGCGTTCCGGGAGCCTCTCACGCTGAGAACGTGTTCCGGGACAGGGGTGTATCAGGTCTGTGGGGGTGCATGACTGAGCCCCCCCAAATACAGGTGTGTCTGGGGAGTCCTCAGGGGCCTTGGGGGTAAATACCAGCTCCTTCACACACGTGTGTGGTGTGTGTGTGCGTGCGTGTGTGTGTGTGTGTGTGTGTGTGTGTGTG